GGGGGGGGAGGGGGTTGTCCGAAAATGGTTTGATCAAGGTGTTACAAATTATTGTGATCTATTAGAGAAATATAATGGGGTTTTTTAAGTTTTGTAAATTTTAAACTGAAATACAATAGAAACTTTGGAAAAATCTTGATTTATCATAGTATATGCCGGTCTATTAGGCAATGTTGTAAACAATTAAATTGTAACTTTACTGCAGAAACAACTTTGGAGAGGCCCTTCATATCAAGTCATATTTATATTATCATAAAGAAAAAAAAGGTTGTAAGGACATGTATGACATATCAAATAGTAAAATTAAATTAGTAAATACAGCTAAAACAATGGGTATTGAAAGAAAATTTCAGAAATATAGATTGGAAAAGTTCATAAAAGACACAACACTGCAATGGTTTCAATACAGATTACAAAATTGTTTCCTCCCAATTAAAAACTATTTAAATACTATTGGGATGTCAAATGACAATATCTGTAATATGTGTAAAATACAAATAGAAACTACAGAACATCTATTCTGGGAATGTCCACAGTCCTTAAAGCTATGGCAAGATTAAAAAGAGAGATTATACAGCAGAAAAGGGAAAATCATTGATTTTAAGTTGGAAACTTGATTCGTTAAATTTTATAACTTTTCCCTATATATATTTCAAGTATCGGTTTCATTCGATTTACTGTCAAGAGTTCGGAAGGTCTCGTGTTCGAATCTCAGTCTAGCCGTGCATTTCTCTAGACATACATAAAGTTGTTCAGAACAAGTAACGAAAATAATGGAATTGCCTCTAGGGGACTCTCAAAACACCAACACGTGAACGCACTCACCAAATCACAAGGTGATCTAACAACAGACAATTAAGGGAATGAACATCCTGAACTGCATGAAAAACACCATCTGTATGAAATCTCTGAAATAATGCAACATTTTTTCAAAAACAGAATAACTCCAATCCATTACATTCTTTTTAGGTTACATATACAATATTTTGTTTCTCTTAGAATATGACCTGGATTTTTTTCAGAAAATATTTTAAACCTAATTAGTTAAAAATTATAAAGTTCAAACATACCAAAAGGGGAAAAAAACCAGATCATTAATTTATGTGATGAATTGAAAATTAATCAAACACATGCTGTACTGTAGAGATCTTATTTGGAAATTCATATTTTTATATTCAGTGATAAATGTACAAATTGTCAACATTTATTGATATTTTAATATAATCCAAAAATAAAAGAATAGTGAATTTTCTGATTGATGGCGTTTAGACTGTAGATAAATAGCTACAATTAATTAAAATATTATTCACACCAGTCTGTTGATTTTATCTGTGAAAGGTTAGTGTTGTGCTACCTTAATTTCTAACTCATGTGTACAGGGTTAAGTTTCTTGACAGATAGGTTACTTCCGGTAACGTCAGAAAACTGAGGTGAAGTGGGAAAAGTTGATCATTCAGAAGGCATTATAAACACAACTGACGAGCCTCATCAGGCTACGGGTATACTTTTATTTGATGTGATTGTCTTTGTGGGAACATCACAAAGGAATAACAAGTCGTCAGTAGCCTTGCTCAGGACTGAATACACAGAATCTCGTTTGATAAAGTGAACTCACCAATCGGCCAAGATGTCGGAAAGAAAAGTCCTAAACGTAAGTTTTTCGTAATGTTATCTGGTTATCTGACATATCCAAAGTAAAAACAGGGATACCTTTGAATTGGAAGTACATAATAAAATTTGCTAAATCACTGAAGAGATCAGGAAATGTTTCCTAATTGTGAATAAGTTTGTTATTTGTAGTTTATGATATAAATGTTGATAAAGAAATCCCATAATGTTTAAACGTTTTCTTCGGGTTTGGTAGTATGGATTGTTAAAAGGTTCATATATATGTTTCTTAATGACATTTTGATGACTAGTAAGGTATATGAAAATTATCACCTTCATCACACAAATGACCACTGAAGTTTATATATGTACACAAAGGTTTAAAATGTGCATTGAGTTGGCAATATAAAACTAACATTAATTTGGCTACACTATAAGTGTATGTTGTAGAAGTTACATTTCTCTTTCCCGTTTCGTAAAAATCTGTGTAAACACAGCTTTCGTCGTAGCCTTTCAGCAATGACGTCACGATTTAGGTGTACACAAGAGTATGCATATGGTGGCTTCGACCTACCCGTGCTTGGGATTTAGTTTTGCCAATTAGTGCCTCGCTTAGATTGCTTGAAGGGGTACCTGCCAACATTAACCTGATTGACAACATGTTGTTAATTTTATTAAACTAATCCCATTATTAAATAGCGAGGAACGAACCCCAAGTACCGAACCGAACACGTTTTTTTTTTTTTGTAAACCTATGTTTATACTCAATTAAAAAGTAAACAAAACCAACATAAACATGTGTGCTAAACAAACAGTAGAATAATCGAGATGTCCCGAAACGACTTTTGACACTCCCGAAACGACCCGGAAAAAGGTCCCGGAACGACTTCTGTCTTGTTACCGAAACGACCTGACACCAAATTTTATATTGCCATGTGGTGCATATTTTAAGCCTATATGTGGTTACTGGTATACGCTTTACTGATCATATGATGTCAGGTGAATATGACCCGGTACCTATTGTACTAGTCAATGAAATTAAATATCAAACTTCACACAGAAAAATATAACATTCAATGGTTGTGCTATATAAATCCCATTATGAATTACAGTTATTTATGTATTTTATCATATTTTCAATCTGTTTCAGAAATACTACCCTCCGGATTTTGATCCGTCAGCCATTCCCAAAATGAGATTTTCGAAGAATCGGACATTTAACATCCGTATTATGTCACCGTTCAATATGAGGTAGAGTGTTCTTCAATCATTGATTTCTGCAGAAAGTGGCAATTGTGATCAATTGTCATTTCTTGTATATGTCATAAAAAAGAACAAATTGGGGATGAATAAAAAGAACAACATAAAGATAAACTCACAGGTCAACTTTTACTCCTCGAAATGATTTTATATTTACATGTTTGTTCAGTAAATGGTGGAAGCCGAAGATTGTCATTGACCTATAAAATAATTAAAATGTGCTATGTCAGCCTGACATTGTCAGGTTATTTATTGTAATTTGACACCATAACAATCAAATTCATAACACTAGAGAGTTAGTTTATCTCTTCACTGCATCAAAGGTATCACAGTGATAATTATATAAATTACCTGTGTTTCAATGATTTTTTTTGATAAAAATATTTATGTAAATTGGTTTAATCTTCCAACTTATTTTCATCACACATTGATACAATATAATTTGCACAGTACAGTATATTGTATATATATTGAAGAAATTATAGCAATATGACTAAGATAGTATGCATATCAAAACAATTAAATATAGATAAACGTTTACTAAATTACTTTATTTATAATCATATTCAAAGAGGAGCATTACTCTGTTAAGATGATCAACAACCATTTTACAAGGTCCAAGTTAAAGTTTCGAGTCATTTAAATAATTTTATTATTTGTTTCTGACTTCTTTGAATTACCAAAATGGCAGCCTCATTGTATGAACATTGTTTTCTATACTGTCTGCGCTGGTTCTGAATAAGATGTGTACTGCATATTCTCTCAAGATGAAGTAACGGTACTTTGGATCGGAAATAGTACTTAAAATCTTTTTTAATTGTTGCAGGTGCAATACGTGCGGTGGCTATATATACAAAGGAAAGAAGTTCAATTCAAGGAAAGAAAATGTGGATGAAGAATTCTACTTGGGCCTACGGATATTTAGGTTTTACATCAAGTGTCCCACCTGTGTGGCAGAAATCGCATTTAAGGTTTGTTTATCATGGTCGTCTGTAAAGGCCTGTAGAAAGTTAGTTTTTGTTGTATGATAAAACTAAGAGAGGAAAAAACAATGTCCTGAGAAATCATAATAGAATGAAAATCAGTATCTAAGATATACAAGTCTGTCTCATTTATCTCATCAGTATAATGAACAATATCATTGATTAGGGAGGGAAGAGACTGGACTATAATTATAAGTACAGTGATAGTTGGAGAATTTGATTTTCTAATGTCTCAAGTTAACATCTTCGTGTTCTAGACTGACCTAAAAAACACCGACTACACCTTGGAGGCCGGAGCTACCCGGCTGTTTGAGGCCGAGAAACTCGCCAAGGAAATGGCTGAGCGAGAGATCAAGGAGAAGGAAGAGGAAGAACTGAATAACCCAATGAAGGTAAGGCAGTGTCAGCCAACATTTAATTCAGTACTTATTAAAGTAACAACCCAATGAAGGTAAGGCAGTGTCAGCCAACATTTAATTCAATACTTATTGTAGTAATAACCCAATGAAGGAAAGGCAGTGTCAGCCAACATTTAATTTAATACTTATTGTAGTAATAACCCAATGAAGGTAAGGCAGTGTCAGCCAACATTTAATTCAGTACTTATTGTAGTAATAACCCAATGAAGGTAAGGCAGTGTCAGTCAACATTTAATTCAGTACTTATTCTAGTAATAACCCAATGAAGGTAAGGCAGTGTCAGCCAACATTTAATTAAATACTTATTATAGTAATAACCCAGTGAAGGTAAGGCAGTGTCAGGCAACATTTAATTCAATACTTACCAGTATTAAAATATCAATTAACTTAATTTTACCTTATAAATATATATATACAAAGTGGATAAACAAAGTATATACCAACTGCTAGCAGCAGGTTTACCCAATGACTTTGGAGTGAGAATTGTTGGAGAATTATGTATATCATAAATAAATATGTGCACAATGTGTCAGATATGTGTTATTTCTATGTAACTATTTACAGGTTGTTTTAGTTTGACCAATGAGATACAAGTATGAAAGTGTGATCTATGTTCTTTATTTAGCATGATAATCATAGAGTTAATCTGTTTTGGTGTTATATTCAGATTCTTGAGAACAGAACGAAAGCATCACGAAATGAGATAGAGACTATAGACATCCTAGGGGAACTGCGGGAATTGAGTGCTCGTCAGGCAACTGTCAACACCGAGACCATGCTGCTGCAGCATCGGGAGTATGAACAACAGCTGCAGAAACTTCAGGATGAGGAGGAGGAAAAGGAGATCAGGTAAACTTAACATCTCCTTAGTTACCATATGATTATCACATAGACATACAGTACACCAGATGGGACCAAACTGACATTTTTGTTGAAATCATAAAATGTCGAATTATAGTCTAAATAGCAATTTGAACTCAAAAGTTTATTAAACTTTGGCAAATATAAACAAAAGAAAGATTTACATGGAGATTGAAAAATTGTAAGGGAAAATTATAAACAGGTAGGTGTTCTGGAAAGGTAAGTGTTTTCTTCTTCGTCCTAGAAAACCGCCATGTAAATCTAGGTCAAATCCAACAAACGTCACACACTGAAGTAGTACCAGTACAACCACCAGGCTCACTAATGAAACTCTGCTTTCTACAGTAACACTTGTGAGAGCTTAATTTGTGGGAATATTTTCTGAATCGAGTGTCTAATATGCTGAATCTTGTACATGAATTTCATTTCATTTCCTGTCCAAAATCACCTTCCTGCAGATATAATGATAATGTCTGAATGTCTATGTACAGGGTACATACTCCATGAATTACAAGCTCGTTTTGTAGTTAAGATGATATAAAATATCAGTAAATCAATTTGTAATTCCACTGACATTTTTGTATCTTTCAGGTCTATATTTGGAGAGAGGGAGGATGGGCGGATTTTGAAGAGGTTAAAAGACGACTCGGATAGTGGTGATGATGAACCTAAAGCCAAGAAGATAGTGTTTCCAGCCAAACCTACAGACCTGTTATCTACAGAGGTAAGCTGTCTTTGTCAGAAAACCCTCAAACAGTGAGAATTTTAAGTTCCAAGCTGATGTTCTCTTTTCTTTTTATCTTTAGACATAATTTTGAATGTGTAATATAATGATAGTGATCAGTGAGATAGTATTACTTGATAGTTGTGATTTAAGAAAAATCTTTAAAAAATTGAGTTTATTAATTATGAATTTCTTAAATAGTCATAAAAGTTTATTCTGATATGATTAATATGATTCTGTCTTAATTAATGTTGATATATATGGTATGTGAACTTTGAACAATTACCTTCCCCGTTAAAAAGGTGTCTACAGGTCCTGATGTTAGTCAGATCGACATTTATTTTTAGGAAATCAAGTTTGCACTTATGCATAGCCAATTTGAAAACATTTTCTTACTAATACTGATGTGTTTCCTGTTGTAGACATTTACCAGCGAGACTAAAAAACCTGAGAAAAAGCCTATAGCTAGCTGGCAAAAAAGTGTTGGAGGTTTCTCAAGTAAAAGTGGTCTCAAGAACCTGGTGAAGAAAAAACAACCAAATAAATCTTGTGATACGACAGTGACTACCGGACACTCAAAGACTGAAACTTCCGCTACAGATACAAACTCAGTGTCTGTTACAGCCACCAAAACAAGTCTACCTCCACCACAACCGACCTCCAGGGGCGGCGAGGTCAGGAAATCAAATACATATACTGAAACCAATGTACCAACATCATCTAGTCCACCCTCATCATCTGTTCCTGTGACATCAGTACCAGTTGCCTCCTCTTCTCTTGGACTGCTAGGACTTGGTTACTCTGACAGCGACGACTCGGAGGATTAACACTTGGTTACTCTGAGAGTTACGACTTGGAGGATTAACACTTGGTTACTCTGACGGCGACTACTCTGAGGATTAACACTTGGTTACTCTGACAGCGACGAATCGGAGGATTAACACTTGGTTACTCTGACAGCGACGACTTGGAGGATTAACACTTGGTTACTCTGACCGTGACGACTTGGAGGATTAACACTTGGTTACTCTGACAGGGACGACTCGGAGGATTAACACTTGGTTACTCTGAGAGTTACGACTTGGAGGATTAACACTTGGTTACTCTGACCGTGACGACTTGGAGGATTAACACTTGGTTACTCTGACAGTGAAGACTTGGAGGATTAACACTTGGTTACTCTGACAGCGACCACTCGGAGGATTAACACTTGGTTACTCTGACAGTGACGACGACTCGGAAGATTAACCCTTGGTTACTCTGACAGTGACGACTCGGAGGATTATCACTTGGTTACTCTGACAGTGACGACTCGGAGGATTATCACTTGGTTACTCTGACAGTGACGACTCGGAGGATTATCACTTGGTTACTCTGACAGTGACGACTCGGAGGATTATCACTTGGTTACTCTGACAGTGACGACTCGGAGGATTATCACTTGGTTACTCTGACAGTGACGACTCGGAGGATTATCACTTGGTTACTCTGACAGTGACGACTCGGAGGATTAACCCTTGGTTACTCTGACAGCGACGACTCGGAGGATTAACCCTTGGTTACTCTGACAGCGACGACTCGGAGGATTAACCCTTGGTTTCTCTGACAGCGACGACTCGGAGGATTAACACTTGGTTACTCTGACTGTGACGACTTGGAGGATTAACACTTGGTTACTCTGACAGTGACGACGACTCGGAAGATTAACCCTTGGTTACTCTGACAGTGACGACTCGGAGGATTAACACTTGGTTACTCTGACAGTGACGACTCGGAGGATTAACACTTAGTTACTCTGACAGTGACGACTCGTAAGGTTTAACACTTGGTTACTCTGACAGTGACGACTTGGAGGATTAACACTTGGTTGCTCTGACAGTGACCACTCGGAGGATTAACCCTTGGTTACTCTGACAGGCACGACTCGTAAGGTTTAACACTTGGTTTCTCTGACAGTGATGACTCGGAGGATTAACACTTGGTTAATCTGACAGTGACGACTTGGAGGATTAACGCTTGGTTACTCTGACAGTGACGACTTGGAAGATTAACACTTAGTTTCTCTGACAGTGACGACTCGTAAGGTTTAACACTTGGTTACTCTGACAGTGACCACTCGGAGGTTTAACACTTGGTTACTCTGACAGTGACCACTCGGAGGATTAACACTTGGTTACTCTGACAGTGATGACTCGGAGGATTAACACTTAGTTACTCTGACAGTGACGACTCGGAGGATTAACACTTGGTTACTCTGACAGCGATGACTCGGAGGATTAACACTTAGTTACTCAGACAGTGACGACTCGGAGGATTAACACTTGGTTACTCTGACAGTGACGACTCGGAGGATTAACACTTAGTTACTCTGACAGTGACGACTCGGAGGATTAACACAAACTTTAATACTGTCATCAATTTCACTAGGTTATGGGAAATTTAATTTCATGAGTCCTCAAAATTTTGATTACATTTAAGATCACATGGAGATTGCATATAGGTGCTATTTAAGGAATACAGTGAATACAGTGCACATGTAATTTTATCAGAGGATGCATGCCTGCATGATGACTTTACTCTTAGTGAATGATAAACTAACTTGGGCTATGACTGTTACTTTTATGGAACCAATCACACATGTTTTGAAAATAAAAAAGGTGTATCTTATATTTATGAGGTGTATCTAATATTTATGAACCATTCACAGCAAAATGCTGCAAATATAAGGACTACTTTGGCTAACTTTGCTCCATTTAAAATATAAACTGCTGGTGTAACAATTGTGTCTCATGTGCAGAAAGTGTCCATGCCTCCACCTACAGTATTGTTGCCATTTTAACGTTATGGAAATTTGTCACAATCTATTATGAGAATTCTGGTTTACAGGAAAAGTGGCTTTTGAGTGTAGACAGAAACTATGAAGATATGTAAATGATAATTTTGAACTTATAAGGTGAATCTGAAGTGTCGCTATGTTTATTTTTGTAATGAGGTGCTTGCAATTGGACTCCGAGTAAAATGTGTAATGATTTCTTGATCTAACCTCATTCAAGTTGTAAGGGCTTGGTGAAAGCTAAAATATATTAATTATACCATGTTTTGTTGACTGCTAAAATCGCTTCTGTTCTATTCTTCTAGACCAAATTATACTGGTCTTAAAGAAGTGCATACTTATGTTGGCCTCTCTTCCAATGTTGGTAATTAAAGACCTTGTGGACTCCATTATCTGTTTGGTGCTGACAGTGTTACTGTCAGAAATGTATATATATAAATTATTTTACATTAGATAAGGCAAAAAAAAAAAGTCTGTTTAGGGTTTCCGACCGACCCAAAACTTTTTGATGATTTATTCTTTTTTTTTAAACCCTGCTGATTTCGAATTTTAGAAGGTTCATTGCCTTTCAAAATGGCTTCCAGCTCCGTGTCAGCATATGGAGCACACTTTGCCTCCAAATGAACCTTGTTTATGTAATTCTTTGTTTTACATACAATAGTAGGGTCATAATCACATGACCACACGGTACAAAAAAATATATAAAAAAAAAAAAAAATTGACCTCCCTACCCTTGCTTTTTTCCCATGCAACGCGCTAAACAGACAATATAATTTTTGGCCTAATGTATCAATTTACTGCAGTCTTGAGAAAATGTAGGCGTCCATTTATGGTTGGTGATATTTAAGTTTCCTATAACATAGTGTAAACAAGTTTAGGGGACTGCATGTTATGCCCTTTATAAAGATGTGATCAGTTATATATTTAAATATGTAAAATATCCGGATAATTGTACATTTTAGTAGGACATACTACCAAATGTAATTAATAAAAAGACTAGTAAAAGAAGTTTTTGTTTTGATTATCTTTATTGAAGCTGAAATCATTCAGCACATGACCGACTTGTAATGTCAATGTGGTGGCTAAAATCATGGAGGCCCTTAGTACACTCTATGACCCCTCCTAGATAGTACTTGGTAATCTCATTGTGATAAAGTCATTACTTAACAAGGGATTACATTTTTAATTAATTTGCCAGAAGACTTATTTGTGATTATATATCTGTCATGATTATTTTTACAAGAATAATGGGTATTATCACTCTGATATTGAAATAGCATCCTCTCCATTGCAAATTTGTGAATAAAACCTACATCCACATTTTGCAAAACAAAGTACAAACAAAAGAATTGAGATTTACAGTGTTAACAGGAAAGGACTTATTTTTGTTGACGATGAAGATTAATGTTTCAAACATCACGAAATCTTGAAAATGCAGTTAGTCAGTAGTATGTACCTGACTAGTACTACTTTTCTAGAGACACCTCCACTATATAACAACTAGTTATTATATCTACAGAACTTCATCATGGAAATAGTTTTGATGAAGCTTAGTACCCAATTGATCATCATTGACATGTACCATGGGGATGCTCACAGGACCCTGTGTCATCATTGACATGTACCATGGGGATGCTCACAGGACCCTGTTTCATCATTGACATGTACCATGGGGATGCTCACAGGACCCTGTTTCATCATTGACATGTACCATGGGGATGCTCACAGGACCCTGTTTCCACTTGGTATGTCAATGTTGCTCATTAAATATAAGTAGTTTAAGTGAAGCATAATGATTATTAGAAGATGGGATTGGTACGCAGTTTAAGTGAAGCCTAATGATTTTAAGAAGATGGGATTGATGAAACTTAATTGGCTATGTGACAAAATAACACATATATCTACCCAAAAATCGAATATTGCATCTATAGAATTTAAGACTCTCAGAATGCCAGATAAGTGTTTTTGCAAATATATATGACCGGTTTCTATGGCGTCTAGATCCGCCACTGAATACAGCTGTAACACATTCTCTGGTCCCTGACTGTTTTGGTGCACACAGTCCAATCTGATTAAAATCATATGTTACATTGCTTCGTTAACTTAGTACTACGCCTGAACAGGCGGAGCCATGTAACCGATGATTTTAATCAGATTGCACACAGTCCAAAAAGAATCATATTTTTGGCGCGAAACTATTTACTCTCGACATAGTTGCCTCCCCTTCCTCTCCAGTGGCGCTGTAAACAAAGATGGCAGCCTCCATGTTGAGCATGATGACATGAGTGTGAAATTTTTAGTTAACGTCCTGTACGTTGTTAATACAGACAATTTGTACGACAACCAATCCTAAAGATGGAAAGTATAGAGGACATGATGAGGATGGACAAGGAGAAGCTCGTGGAGCCGGTCAAAACCGTCCAGGTTTGTGTTTAGCCTGTGGCTGTGGTGAGATGTGCCGGTACATACTATCCGGACACAGGGGTTCGTTACAAATGTCTGAAATTCACATATGCTATATTGGTGCTGTGCCCCATGGAAACCAGTATAGCATATGTGTATTTCAGACATTTGTAACGAACCTCTGTGGTCCGCAGTACTAGTGAGGGCTTGTTGTTATTGCCTCATGTGCAGATATGTGATATGGAACTAAAATAATTGCTTCATATCTGCATAGCTAGAAATACTAAATCATACCTAAGTATTGTGTTACTACTACAAACGATATTTATTTTTATTTTTTCATGTACCTTACTCAAATAGCCCAAGTTTCCTCTGGCCCTGACCACAGGGGCACACAACTTACTATTAGTATTGTTCTCGTTCTAGACTTTCAGTCGCTGAGTACGTTACATCCCAGGGATATAACGTACCCCGCGACTGAGTCTAATAAGATCCCAGGAATAAAACGTACCCAGGGACGGAAAGTCTTAACAAGATCGTGATCAGTATATCAATCAAAGGTGTTTGAAACTCTGACTGTAAATTGAAATAAAAATCATATAAAGAATAAGGGTATTACTAAATGACTATATAGTACCCCTTATTTTTTTATATGATTTTTATCTCAATTTACAGTCAGAATTTTAAACACCTTTGTATTAATAGTAGTTGCGTGCCCCTGTGCCCAGACACCCATTTTGACCGATAACTGTCTGGTGTGACATCTATCAATCAAAATGTCTAAGTCTGGTATCAGGGCCAGAGGAAACTCGGGCTACATACTCAAGGTACTGGTAAATGCAATAAACTGGTAAAAGTTTTTCAAATTGTTTCTTTCATATCTATAACTACACTTGTTAACAGCTTCCAAACTGTAAACAGACTTGTCGGTGATACTGTATGTCATGTGTAATATTAAAAGCTTACGGTTATCATTTTCTCGTTCTGTTTTAAATTTGTGTGTTCTTAGTTTGTTTTAATTACTATCTTGTTGACAGGAGAAATGGAGACTTCTGCCTGCGTTCCTGAAAGTTAAGGGACTTGTAAAGCAGCACATCGACTCCTTCAACTTCTTCATCAATAATGACGTAAGTCAGAACCATGATCATCAGTGACGTGAGAAGCATGTACAGAGGGGCCCAGGGAAGGGGGTATCAGGAAGGCCAGGGAAGGGGGTATCAGGGAGGCCAATGAAGGGGGTATCAGGGTGAACAGTTTTATATTTAAATTACTAGCCATGCCAGCAGGGAGATTAAAAAATAAATATTAGTCCAGTCAACATTCTTTGGAAATATTTATTGGGAAAATATAGTATTATTATAGGATATTGAAATTGGGAATATATTCCTCAATTTTTTGTCATTTGGGGAAAATAAGACATTTTTTAGCTAGGGTAAACAGTCTGTATTCAGCAGTAAAACTGAGCAAAAAGATCAGTGTTATAATAGAATCTTATTAATTCAACCACCACTGCATAATTAATCATTAATTATATATGATCCGGTTGTTCCATAAAAGGTATCTTGCTAGTGTTTTAAGGGAACAGATTGGCTTTTTAAACCAAGATTTCCCTGTAACCTAGCTATTTCACAATTCAGCCAGTTTTTATATAATAATGGAAACACAAAAGGCTGTACTTTCAAGGTTCTGGTACCAGGTGATTGTTTATAATATTTCACAATGACAGTGTGGTTTGTCCTGTGAACTTATAAGTGCCAAAACATTTTTATGATATTCTTTATTAACAAATAAAATATATAAATATATTTCTAGTTTCTGTGTCTTGACAGTGATTTTTGGGAAACATATATATCTTAGTCCCATTGGACTTCTGGTTTTCCATTGTGGGACACAGCCACATGACTTGCCAGAAGGAAAAAAACCTGTGATAGATCAAGCACTTATTTCTGTTATAGATCAAGAGTATTATGAAGGCCAATGAGAAGATCTCCAGTGATGCTGATCCCAACTTTTATATGAAGTTTGTATTTCAAACATTTGTTTTACACGTACATGAAGCTTATGTATCTAAATGTTGGTCTGTATAGTGGATTTCTTTTCATCCTAGCTTATAAAGCACTTGTCTCTACACTTAAAACTGTTTGATATTAACTTAAATTTTAGATTTATTTGAAATTATCTATCTCTATTTATTTAAAAAAAATATCCCAAATTTGTTATGTTTGTATTCAATGATTATCTCTTATATTTGAATATACTTTTTCAACATTTCAGTGTGATAATCCACATTTCTCAGGCAGTTATTTATGCTATCATGACATTTTAATGCTGATTATCTGCTTTTATCCAGTTTTGTTAAGTACATGACAGACTTACTGAATGAAACATCACATCAGTGCCATTGGCTGTTTATGAATTCATTATCATAAATTGATAATGCATCGACAGAAGTGATGAATCAAATGATGAAATTGGTCACTTCAGTGTTGAGTCTTCTATTGCCAGGTACCTGAACATATATGTAGGGATGCCGGATGTTGAGGAGGGGTTCAACATAACAAAGCCGATCTCCCCTCATGAAGTAAGTACATTTACTTACCAAATGTAGAGGAGTGTTTCATTATTACAAAACCTGTTAAACTGCAAACAGTAGGAACATTTACTTGTGAATTGTTGAAATAAGATATGGACATTAAATCTTTAATTTTTGGTGACTTATAGCAATTTCCTTGCAGTGTCGCCTAAGAGACATGACATACTCAGCACCTCTAACTGTGGACATTGAGTACACCCGTGGTAACCAGAGGATTGTCAGGAAGAACCTACCCATCGGCAGGTAAGTCTCTTACTGCCATAGTACACCCGTGGTAACCAGAGGATGTGAGGAAGAACCTACCCATCGCAGGTAAGTTTCTTACTGCCAAAGGACACCCGTGGTAACCAGAGGATGTCAGGAAGAACCTACCCATCGCAGGTAAGTCTCCTACTGCCATAGTACACCCGTGGTAACCAGAGGATGTCAGGAAGAACCTACCCATCGCAGGTAAGTTTCTTACTGCCAAAGTACACCCGTGGTAACCAGAGGATGTCAGGAAGAACCTACCCATCGGCAGGTAAGTTTCTTACTGCCATGGTACACCCGTGGTAACCAGAGGATGTCAGGAAGAACCTACCCAGCGCAGGTAAGTCTCTTACTGCCATAGTACACCCGTGGTAACAAGAGGATGTCGGGAAGAACCTCCCCATCGGCCGGTAAGTCTCCTACCAACACTAATATGTGAATATGTGAAGGTACACTGGCTATTGTGTGAAGGTGTACCAACCCTAATATGTGAAGGTACACTGGCTATTATGTGAATGTGTACCAACACTCATATGTGAAGGTCCAATGCTAATATGTGAAGGTTAGGTGCACCAACACTAATATGTGAAGGTATACTGGATATTATGTGAATGTGTACCAACACTAATATGTGAAGGTCTTCCAACACTAATATGTGAAGGTATACCAACACTTATATGTGAAGGGGTACCAACACTAATATGTGAAGGGACACTGGCTATTATGTGAAGGTGTACTGACACTAATATGTGAAGGTACACTGGCTATTGTGTGAAGGTGTACCAACACTAATATGTGAAGTTATACCAACACTTATATGTGAAGGTGTACCGACACTAATATGGGAAGGTGTACCAACACTAATATGTGAAGTTATACCAACACTTATATGTGAAGGTGTACCGACACTAATATGGGAAGGTGTACCAACACTAATATGTGAAGGTTAGGTGTACCAACACTAATATGTGAAGGTTAGGTGTACCAACACTAATATGTGAAGGTCCAATGCTAATATGTGCAGGTTAGGTGCACCAACACTAATATGTGAAGGTATACTGGATATTATGTGAATGTGTACCAACACTAATATGTGAAGGTCTTCCAACACTAATATGTGAAGGTATACCAACACTAATATGTGAAGGTACACTGGCTATTATGTGAAGGTGTACTGACACTAATATGTGAAGGTACACTGGCTATTATGTGAAGGTGTACCAACACTAATATGTGAAGGTATACCAACACTAATATGTGAAGGTATACTGGCTATTATGTGAATGTGTACCAACACTAATATGTGAAGGTCCAATGCTAATATGTGAAGGTTAGGTGCACCAACACTAATATGTGAAGGTATACTGGCTTATTTGAGGGAAGGGGTACTAAAACAGATGTGAGCAGTGAACTTACAATCTGTTTTGAGCAATGCTTGTTTACATTGCCATCCAGGGACAATTGGGTCTTTGTTTATAGCATGAGCAGTGTTCATCTGCAAATATGTTGTCAATAATTGTGAAAAAAGGCTATTTTGTACAATGTTTTTTAATTTGCATGAAATTATCTTGTTTTAAATAAAATATATTATCCTAAAAAAAAAAAAAAAAGTCTCCTACTACCGTAGTACACCCACAGCAACTAGACTATTGTCAGAACCTACCTATCGGCAGGTAAATCGTCTATCATAGTACATGCAGTGATAAAAAATCGTCAGAAAGAATTTACCCATTGGCAGGTAACTATGTTTGATAATGTCAGTGTTCACCCACAGTTATCAAAGTTTTTTCAGAAAGAATATATTTGCTGTTTGTCTTAAATTTCATACAAGGCAAAGTAAATGTCACATTGCCACTTGTATGTTCTAACCACAGAATGCCGATGATGCTGCGCAGCTCCAACTGTGTCCTAACAGGGAAGAGTCCTGCTGAGATGGCAAAGCTCAACGAATGTCCCATGGATCCAGGCGGCTACTTCATTGTCAAGGGCAATGAGAAGGTCATCCTTATTCAAGAACAACTCTCAAAAAACAGAATGATTGTGGATACCAGTGCTGGTCGCAAAGGAACCATAGAGTGTTCTGTTACTAGGTAGGAGTCAATTGAGAGTTCTGTTACTAGGTAGGAGTCATTGAGAGTTCTGTTACTAGGAGGGGGTCATATAGTGTTCTGTTACTAGGTGTAGGAGTCATTGAGAGTTCTGTTACTAGGTAGGAGTCATTTAGTGTTCTGTTACTAGGTAGGAGTCATTGAGAGTTCTGTTACTAGGTAGGAGTCATTGAGAGTTCTGTTACTAGGTAGGAGTCATTGAGAGTTCTGTTACTAGGTAGGAGTCATTGAGAGTTCTGTTACTAGGTAGGAGTCATTGAGAGTTCTGTTACTAGGTAGGAGTCATTGAGAGTTCTGTTACTAGGTAGGAGTCATTGAGAGTTCTGTTACTAGGTAGGAGTCATTGAGAGTTCTGTTACTAGGAGGGAGTCATTGAGAGTTCTGTTACTAGGTAGGAGTCATTGAGAGTTCTGTTACTAGGTAGGAGTCATTGAGAGTTCTGTTACTAGGTAGGAGTCATTGAGAGTTCTGTTACTAGGTAGGAGTCATTGAGAGTTCTGTTACTAGGTAGGAGTCATTGAGAGTTCTGTTACTAGGTAGGAGTCATTGAGAGTTCTGTTACTAGGTAGGAGTCATTGAGAGTTCTGTTACTAGGTAGGAGTCATTGAGAGTTCTGTTACTAGGAGGGGGTCATATAGTGTTCTGTTACTAGGTGTAGGAATCATTGAGAGTTCTGTTACTAGGAGTTCTGTTACTAGGTAGGAGTCATTGAGTGTTCTGTTACTAGGTAGGAGTCATTGAGAGTTCTGTTACTAGGTAGGAGTGATTGAGTGTTCTGTTACTAGGTAGGAGTCATTGAGAGTTCGGTTACTGAGAAGGGGTAATAAAGTGTTCTATTTAATAATCATACCATGTCCCATTAATAAGTTATAATCATAGTCTAGAGTCTACCCTGTTACTACTAGGTAAGGATCATAGTGTTCTATTGTCATTACCTTGATAGCAGCTATGCCCCTTTCTAATTCCCATTTATAAAGGTGAGGAAATTAAATCTTGAACTTTCCTTAAGTGATAATAGATGTAACAAATATGCCGCAGAGGGGTTGGATATTTCGTTAGTCTTGTGGCTTATAGTCTAGTTTCTCACTGGACTTTGGTTGGGAGTCACCTTAATTTCTTAAAAAATATTTCGGCACCAATACTCTTACTGACATCTTGTTTAATGATGTCATTGTAGCATGTTGTTACTATTGAAGTCCTCATGTGAGATTTATGTACCCTAAACAGCTCGACTCACGAGAGGAAGAGTAAGACTTATGTTACCACTAAAAAGGAGAAGTTCTACTTACGTCACAACACCTTCGCTGAGGTAAGTCAAACACAGCATCTTTACAGGTACAGCTCTCATAGCCTTCTGACCCCATCTCAATAGCCATACTGACATAGATGATAGCAATGCTCCTTAAATCGTTCGTTTATGAATTTTACAGCTGAATCCAACATGCATCCTAAACTGGCATAATGAAAGAAACAAGAATTAAAAATAATTGTAATGTTGTAATTAAATGGTTAAATTCACTTGATTAGTTTTTCAGACATAGGCTTTTTAATAGTAAACAAGTAACGAAAACTTAACAAACATGGAAATACACGTCACAATGTAAAATACTTTGTAGGACATACCTGTGGCGATCGCGTTTAAAGCGATGGGTATCGAGTGTGACCAGGAGATTGTACAGATGATAGGGAGTGAGGAGGTAGTACTGACCGCTATAGCTCCGTGTCTGGAGGAGTGTCACCGCGCACAGGTGTTCACACAGACCCAGGTAATACTAACCCAACCAGGTATACTCAACCAGGTATATACAACCAGGTATACACTAACAGGTATACTCAACCGGGTATACTCAGCCAGGTATACACAACCAGGTATACCCAACCGGGGTAACACACAACCAGGTAATATACAACCAGGTATACACAACCAGGTAATACACAACCTAGTAATACACACACAACCAGGTATGCACACACAACCAGGTATACACAACCAGGTAATACACAACCTAGTAACACACAACCAGGTATACTCAGCCAGGTATACACAACCAAGTAATATACAACCTAGTAATACACACACAACCAGGTATATATAACCAGGTGAACACAACCAGGTGATACACAACCAGGTAAACTCAACCAGGTGATACACAACCAGGTAAACACAACCAGGTTATTATATATATATTGTATAATACAAAACCAGGTAGTATGCACACAACCAGGTAATACACACACAACCAGGTACACTTTGTAATACAAACATTACCAGGACTCAACAAAAAATTCAATATGGAGTCTCTGACACAGGAGAGTCACTTTGATGCTATCACCCTTACTTAATCCAGTTTCCCTGTTGAGCATCCCTCTGGTAACTCCTTAACTGACAATGAGCGATCTAACATGAAGCACTAGTGTATTTTCAGTAAGTTGACAAGTGACATTTGTGTCCAAGAAAATATCAGCTTTCTTGCAACTATCTTTTATGGGGACTGTCTAAGTACAAAACTATGATTTATTATTTTGGCAATCATCTGCAGAATGATCTTCCAGTGTTGGTACTCCCCGGAAAAAATAACCATAACACTTTTAATCTTTGAGATTGTAAAGCATTGTCAAAAGATCAGCAGGAACTGACCATTAGAAAGGTAGTGTTAGAATCATAATCCCCAACTGTAGTCAAATGTGAAATCTGATTTGTGTAGATTTTCCTGGTTTTTAGCTCACCTGCCCAAAGGGCAAGTGAGCTTATGCCATGGCGCAGCGTCCGTTCGTCCATCAACTTTTCCTTAAAAACGCTACTTGTCCTGAACAGCCTAGTAGATTTGAACTAAATTTGGTCTGGAGCTTACTTAGGCCAAGGGGTCTCAATTTTGTATAAATGGTGGGTGTGGCCCCCCTGGGGGCATAGAGGTTGGGCCCAATAGGGGAAATAAATAGAGTTAAAACTTTTTAAATCCTTCTTCTACCGTAGGGATGAAGGGATTTTATCCTAATTTGGGGTGGAGCATCCTTGGGCAAAGGGGACTAAATTTTGTATGAACGGTGGGTGTGACCCTCCTGGGGCAGTGCCAAATAGAGGTAAAACCTTTAAATCCTTTTGAGCTTATGCCATACCGCAGCGTCCGTCGTCCGTCCGTCTGTCCGTCAACTTTTCCTTTAAAACGCTACTAGTCCTGAAGGGCCAAGTAGATTTTGACTAAATTTGGTCTGGAGCATCCTTAGGCTAAGGGGACTCAATTTTGAATAAATGGTGAGTGTGGCGCCCCTTGGGGCAGATGGGCGGGGCCGAATAGGGGAAATAGGTAAAACCTTCAAAATCCTTCTTCTACCCTAGAGATTAAGGGATTTTATCCTTATTAAGTCTGGAGCATCCTTGGGCCAAGGGGACTAAATTTTGTATAAATGGCGGGTGTGGCCCCCCTTGGGGCAGAGGGCCGGGCCGAATAGGGGAAATAATGGTAAAACCTTCAACATCCTTCTCCTACCCTAGGGATTAAGGAATTTTATCCTTATTAAGTCTGGAGCATCCTTGGGCCAAGGGGACTCAGTTTTGTATAAATCGTGGGTTTGGCCCACCCCCAAGGGCCTGAGGGGCGGGGCCCAATAGGGGAACATAGCAAATTATTCTTTAAAATCCTTCTACTTCTGTAGGAATGACAGGATTTGGTCCATATTTGGTGTTGAGCATCCTTGGGTTAAGGGAAACCATTTTTCTATAAACGGTGGGTCCCGCCCCCTTGGGGGCTGAGGGACGGGGCCCAATATGGGAAATATAGCAAATTCTTAAAAATCCTTCTTCTTCTGTAGGAATGACAGGATTTATTCCATATTTAGTCCGAAGCATCCTTGGGTGAAGGGGTACCAATTTTGTATAAACAATGGGTCTGACCCCCCTGGGGCCTGAGGGGCGGGGCCCAATAGGGGAAACATAGCAAATTATTCTTTAAAATCCTTCTTCTTCTGTAGGAATGAAAAGATTTGGTCCATATTTGGTGTGAAGCATCCTTGGTTAAAGGGGAACCAATTTTGTCTGAACGGTGGGTGTGGCCCCCCCTGGGACCTGAGGGGTTGGGCCCTATAGGGGAAATAGAGGTAAAACCTTTAAAATCCTTCTTCTACCATAGGGATTAAGGGATTTTATCCTAATTTAGTCTGGAGCATCCTTGGGCCAAGGGGACTCAATTTTGTATAAGCAGTGGGTGTGGTCTCCCAGGGGGCAGAAGGGCAGGGTGCAATAGGAGAAATAGAGGTAAAATCTTTAAAATCCTTCGACCATCATGATTAAGGGATTTTATCCTTATTTAGTCTGGAGCATCCTTTGGCCAAGGGAACTCAATGTTGTATAAATGGTGGGTGTGGAACCCCTGGGGGCAGAGTTTTGGGGGCCAAATAGGGAAAATAGAGGAAAAGATTGAAAATTCTTCCTCTACTGTTTGGATTAAGGGATTTTATCCTAATTAGGGGTGGAGCATCCTTGGGCAAAGGGGACTAAATTTTGTATGAACGGTGGGTGTGACCCTCCTGGGGCAGTGCCAAATAGACGTAAAACCTTTAAATCCTTTTTCTACTGTTGGGATTAAATCCTTTTTTCTACTGTTGGGATTAAGGGATTTTATCCTAATTTGGTCTGGATTATGCTTGGGCAAAGGGGACTAAATTTTGTATAAACGGTATGTGTGTGGCACCCCTTGGGGCAGAGAGGTGAGGTTCAATTGGGGAAATAGAGGTCAAACCTTTGAAATCCTTCTTCTACCATAGGAATTAAGGGATTTTATCCCAATTTAACGTGGAGGCAAAAGGGACTTAATTTTGTATAAATGGTGGGTTTGGACCCCCTGGGGACTGAGAGTTGCGGGGCCCAATAGGGAAATTAGAGGTTTAAATCTTTAAAATCCTCCCCCTTCTGCACCATTGGAGGGATTTTATGTAATAAGAATAATTTCCCATGGTTGCTTTATTATCCAGGTTAGCGATACAGGCCCTCTGGGCCTCTTGTTCATTTCCCAATATGGTCCGAAGGAAATGAAGTACATAGGAAAGTGAGAAAAGATTGTTTGTCTGTTTTGTTCTTTAGCCACTGAAATACTTAAGAATAGATATTTGTCATTTATATTTGTCCTTTAGCCACTGAAATACTTAAGAATAGATATTTGTCATTTATATTTGTTCTTTAGCCACTGAAATATATAGGAATAGATATTTGTCATTTATGTTTGTCCTTTAGCCACTGAAATACTTAAGAATAGATATTTGTCATTTATATTTGTTCTTTAGCCACTGAAATACTTAGGATGTACACCTCTGAGAAGTCAAAAAATTCCTGTATTAAACTTTTTTTCTTATATTGATTTTTGGAAAAAGGAGATAATGGCATAGTAGAAAATGCAAATATATATATATGTCCATGTGTTTGTTTTTGTGCTATGATCGGTCAAAGATACCAATTTAACACAATAGGTGATTTTAGATGAGTTTTCGGGGTTTGACCATTTGCAGAACAAATTCATACATTTTCTTCCAAGTGTGTTATCAGATATAAATGAATGTTTGTAGAATTGATAAAAATATTATTTTCTTTTAAATTATGGAAGTAAAATTTGTTAATCTTATTCATTTAACTCAGAAATGCGATTTTAGTTACCCCTACCCCTTATTTTTTAATGAAAAATGCACATTTATTCACCATTTTTTGCCGGTTAAAACGCTTGATATAAAAAAAATCCTGTATTAAACTATTTTTGGTATTCAATGAGTCAAAAGAAAACGTGTTTCTCTTTCTAAAACAGCCACAAAAATTTGGGGGTCGGTGTGCTTCTTTTTTTGTCCCATTATTATTTGTGTTATTTTTCACCTTTTTCGGGGTCAAAAACCAAAAGTGCTTCAGTTACCCTAATATGTAAAAAAAATACCAATAATATATAACTTTCCACGTTTTTGCATATTATTTTAATCATATTGAACATTATAAAGTTGTACAGCAAAATTGAACCTGCTACATTTAAAAATGGTGACACAATGACAATTTAAGTGATTAATCTAGTGTCAAAAAAGGTGAAATTTTGCCCTTTGTGAAGCGCAAGAAATTCACATAAATACACTTTTTCAAAATAGTCGCCAAATTGGTCATTTTTTTCAAATTCTTGTAAAAAAAAATCTACACACAACAGACATCTAGTTTTTTGACATGTGTTTTCAGATGTGTGTTTGCTATTAAACCTATCATAATTTGATAGATATTACAAAAACCTGTTACACCAGATCAAAATGAGACTTGAACGTGACTGAAACCTCAGAAGAGTACATCCTTAAGAATATATATTTGTCATTTATGTTTGTTCTTTAGCCACTGAAATACTTAAGAATAGATATTTGTCATTTATGTTTGTTCTTTAGCCACTGAAATACTTAAGAATAGATATTTGTCATTTATGTTTGTTCTTTAGGCACTGAAATATATAGGGGTACGTGTGAGGCAGCGACGAATGTGGGGTGCACCAAAGAAGAGTAGAGTGGACGACGCCAGAGATGTCCTACATAGTGTGGTACTGGCCCATGTCCCTGTAAGTCACTAGCACTAGACTATTAATAAGTGTAATTATCATTATTGTCTGTATTTTCACTGGGTTAGAAGTGTACACAAGTGACATAATGTATTATTTCCTGTAGTTCCAACTCTGGACTCTCATTTACTTAAATTAATATGATATTTATTATGTACACAAGACATTTCGTGTCTAGTCAAACTCTGGACCAACCTTTACTTATTTAAACACATTGAAATGAAGTTATAACTGAGATCAGTCACACGTATATTGAAGATTTTAATCTGTTGATTCATTGTTCATTGTCCATGGCTGTAAACAAAATTTCTATACATTATCCTTGACCCAATAGGTAGTGCAGTGGAACTTTAGAGTTAAGTCTGCGTACCTGGCCCTGATGGTGCGGCGTGTGATCCTAGCTAAGGGTGACAAGGTCAAGGCTGACGACCGTGATTACTACGGTAACAAGCGTCTGGAGCTGGCTGGACAGCTGCTGTCACTTCTGTTTGAGGATTTGTTCAAAAAGTTTAATTCAGAGGTAAAGTGGATATGTGCAAGGTTCATCATAGGCAATTCATTACACTGTCTGTACATGTATACAGAAAGGGACTCTGTCTGTACAT